CAAAGAATTCGCGCGAACGTGCAATCTGTTGTAGGCCTTTCGGGGCCCTCTGGGAGCTCTCTTGGGGCATCCATTGGTGGCGCCTTGGGGCCTTGGGATGGCTCCAAGAGGCTTCGGGATTGCCCCAGACCGCCACAAGACAGCTCCGAGACGGCCGTCGAGCACCACGGGTGAAAGCAAGTGAGGCTAGGGAACAGGGCCTCTGGTAAGCCGCCACTGCGCCCCCTGGACTACCCAGACAGCGAGGGGACCTGAAACGCCCTGGGGCTCCAGGGGCCCCAGATTAGTGAAGTGAAGGTTTTTGCCATGCAAGCACCCCGAAATTCTTCACTTCACTAAACCGGACCCAGGACGAACTCGCTACGCTCCAGTCCCGCGGGAGATCCGAGACTCCCGCCGCCGCCCGGGGACGTTGCTGCATTGCGGTGCTCTGGTCACTGTTAATGGCTTCCGCGGGCTGCAGCGGCTCACTTCCATGACTACCCCGACTCACGAATCCAGTGGTTGGTCTGGCTCTATGGGTTGGTTTCGTTGTGTCGGTTGATTTTGTGCTTGGTTGGCGGTCGGTGGATTTCGCGTTGTTCATTGGTGTCGTGAAGTGATTTGTCGTTTGGTTGGTCAGTGCCGTTTTGTTGATTCGTGCCGTTTTGTTGGTTGGTGTCGTTTCGTTGGTTGGTGTCGTTTTGTTGCTTGGTGTCGTTTTGTTGCTTGGTGTCCTTTTGTTGGCCGGTGTCGATTTGTTGGTTTGTTGGTTGGTGTCGGTTTGTTGGTTGGTGTCGTTTTGTTGCTTGGCGTCGTCCTGGCGGCGTGGCCGATAATCGGCGGCCTGCAATGGCGCCAGGATTTGTTTCGGGCCAGCCTTGATCGCCCTCATCATTCTCATATTCGTCAGCGTCAGCACTCGTCGCCCCCATCCGCGCACACATGCGGCCCTGGTACGGCTCTCACGCGGCCCTGCGAAGGCCTTCACTGTGCTCCCCAAAGCTTTCTGAGGGGCCCCCCAGAGGCCCCAAGAGGGCACTGGAAATTGTCGCTTCCAACTCCGCCAGGCGGAGGTCAACAAGGGTCTCACTGGTGCACTTCCAGGAATCGTCGTTCGATCCTCTTGGGGCCCTCCTGGGGCCTTCTGGAGCCGTCTTGGAAGCTCCGAGCGGCTCCATGAAGGCGCCGGGCGATATCGCTTCCAATTCCGCCAGGTGGAGTTAGACCAGGGGCTCACTGAGGCCCCTTTTTGCGCCCTCCTCTGCCTTTGAAAAAGCCCCGATGGGGTTCTTCAGTGCCGTCTTAGGGCCCCTAAGAGGCCTCCAGCAGGGTATTGAAGTTATCGCTTCCAACTCCGCCACGCGGAGTTGAACCCAGGGCGGCTCTCTATGGCCCTTTCGGGGCCTTCTTAGAGCTTTTCTGAGGCCCTAAGTGGGCCCTGGGAGGTGTCATTTTCACGGGCGTTGAAAGTGACACCGCGGAGGGCCCTCTTGGGCCCTTCTTGGGGCCTCTCTTGGGTCCCTCTGGGAGCCCTCTTGGTGCCGCCCTGGGGCCTTCTCGGGGCCTTCTTGGAGCCTTTCTGGTGCTCTTTAAGTGGGCCCTGGGAGGTGTCACTTTCACGGGCGCTGAAAGTGACACATCGAAGGGCCCGCTTTCCCTCGTAGCGCTGCCCGTGGCCGGGGCATTGTGCAGCGCATCCCTCGTCGAACGTATTTTGTCGGACGCGTGGTCGAATTCCGCCAGTTCGGTCGAGATGGTGGTCAAGCGGTTCGGTTGCAATGTAGCCATGCGGATCTGAGCTTACCATTTCTTGCCATTTTGGCGGGGATCGCAGGAGCGTTTGTGTTGTGATCAACTGTGCTCGATATATCCAGCGGCAGCGTTTCATCCCAATATATTATTTTGAAAAAAGTCAGCAGGGGCCAAATTGCTGATGTGAAGCAACATAGGTCTCGTAGCGAGGACTTCCGGTGGAAGGCTAGCCCGTCTGCCCGGGCGCTGTCTGCACCGCCCATGCTTCTGGTATTTTTGTTGGGTTATTGTGCTCCTCGCGCGAGTTGTTGCGTTTTTTCTTCCGTCGGTCCATCGGGCCGGCGTCGGCCTTGCCGCCTTGCTGCCCGCGCCCCGGCATGGGTCGTGGGCCGCCTTGGCCGCGGCCCAATTTTCTTCTTTGTCGCGCCCCCCAGGCTTCAGGCCTCGACCTGGGTAGCTTGCCGCTGCTTTTCCCTGCGCCATCCTGCCCGCTGTTGGCCAGTATTTTGCATTGATTGCTATGTTGCCTGCGGCGGCGTTTTGGTTTCCTCGCCTCTTGTCCTTCCTGGGTGTCTAGGGGGCGCGGCCTGGCATTCCCATGCGCCTCTTGCGGTGCCCGGTGCAAATGCGATCTTTCGCCCGAGGGGCGTGCTCGGCAATTCCCGTGGGCGCCGCTTGTGGTCGGCGTCTTTTTCCGCCAGCAGCATGTCCAGCGGTGTCCTTGCCGCTTAGCTGCTTGCTCCTTTTTTATAGGTGCTGGCTTTCATGGCCGTGGCCTTTTTTTGCGTTTTTGCGTCTGCGCTGCATCTCGGGTGTGCGCCGCTGCTAGGGCTGCGGGTCGCATCTCGCTGGCTTCAGCTGTGTTTTAGCTCGTGTGCCCGCGGTTGGCGCAGCCCGGTGGCGGGTGCGGTTCCTTGTTCTTCTCCACCTGATTGCCTCTGGTCGGAGCGGTGCGACCTTGAGATGACCGTGCAGGTGCTATATCGTGCAGGCGATCGCATTTGTTTCGGCCCCCATCCATAATTGACGCAGAGGTGACAGCGGTGGGTTTGCTCTTTGACAGTGGCGTCCGCAATGCGCGTTGGCCGCGCGCGCGCCGTTCACCGCCTGCGGATTTGCTTGTGCTCCACCTCATGTGCGTCGCCGTGCGTCGGCCGTCGCGGTCGCGCGCGGTCAGCCTCGCTTTTTGATGTCGTTTTTCTCTTCGAACGCGCGCTGCCTTCGCGCTGCTTGCAGCTGCGCGGCGTTCTCTGTGTTCGTTGCTTGCCTGGCGGCGGCGCCTGTCTCGCCTTTGCCTGTCCCGTGCCGCCGCTTGCTGTCTGGTCTGGCAGCCTTGCAGTGCTGTCTTTTCTATTGGCTACTAGCGCCAGACTGCTGCCGCGCGGCAGCTCCTGGCTCTATTGGCTACTTAGCTCCGGACTGGTGCCCGCGCTTCAACTCCTGACGTCGAGCTGCGCTCCGCGGGATGCTTGGCCGCTGCCCTTTGGCTTGGCAGTGCCCAATCTCTTCGCCGCCACTGCCGATGTGCATGGCCGGGGCTGGATTCTTTCATCGCGGCGCGTTCGAGTAAGTTCGTTCGCACTTGGTAACTCCATCTGCCGACCGCGTCTGAGGTTCCTCTTCGCTGCCGGCTCGAGAGAGAGAGAGAGAGAGAGAGTGTGTGTGTGTGTGCGTGTGCTCTCCTGCTTGGTGCTTGCAGTTTCCAGCTTGCCTGTTTTGCAGCATATGCACGCGTCTGGCGCTGTCTCGCAGTGGCCCCCCACCCATCCTGTTCTTGTGGTCCATAGTTGCCACCCTACCCGTTGACTTCGGTCGCGTGTTTGGGCACAGTGCCAGGCTGCTTTCAGTTTACTGCCCGCTCTTCACTGCCTAACGCAGTCGTTGTGATTCGGTGGCCGCAATTTGTCGTCAGTGCCCGCGCTTCAGTTAACAGGTTTGAGGTCGTTCTCATGTTCTGGCCTTTGCGCTTTCGCATGGACTTGTAGTGCTTCCTCACGCCCATCGCTTGCGTGCTGGGGTTGTGCTGCGGTTCGCCGCGCTATTGACAATGCGCGGTTGCAGTTCGCACCTCCATATGCTACTCGCGCCTGAGGAGCCTCTGCGCCACCAATTCAAGTGCGTGTACAATCTCTCGCTTTCTTCCTCTCTTACTCCGCTGCCCCATCGGTTCTGTCGTTGACATTCGGATTTCGTTCGCTTCTCGTCCCAAACCTGCGTAGCGCGCGCGTGTAGGCGGCTTCGCCATTGAACCTTTGGCTCCCCGGGCGTCCCTGGGTGCCCTGGTGCCGCACGTGGCTTGGCGTTCGTTGGTGCGTGCGCTGGGACGTGCGTGGGGGGGCCGTTCCCCGCCCCCACCACGTGCGCCCGAAAAACGTGCGCCGCCCAGCACGCCACGTGCTGTTTGCGAGGACGCCTCCAGCTGGCGCCGCGCGCCGTATCGACTGCCACCAGCCGTGGCAGATGAGGCCTTCCGGGTCCCTTCGGGCGTAGGGCGTGGCACGGCGGCGCGCCAAAGGGGGATGTGCGAGGGGGCAAGCCTGCTCGGAGGGCGGTTGGGGCTCCTCAGAAAACCCTAGGCCTCATGATGGGGACCCCCCCTCCTCGCTCTTGGTCCCACACCGCCCGTTCGACTTCGTTATTGTTTTCGTCCTTTTCCGCGTTCTCGTCCTTGTCCTCGTCTTCGTCTCCTCGTCGTTTTCCCTCCTCCTCGTTCCTTTCTCCTCTTCGTCTTCCTCCTCGTCCCTTTCCTCCTCCGCCTCCTCTTCCTCCTCCTCGTCCTCGTCGTCGTCGTCGTCGTCGTCCTCCTCCTCCTCCTCCTTCTCCTCCTCCTCCTACTCGTCCTTCTCTTCCTCCCCCTCCTCCTCCCTCCTCCCTCCTCTTTCCTCTCGCCTCCCCATCTGTCGTCCCGCACGCCTCCTTCCTACATCGTCCTCCGTCCCTCTCCTCGCTAATTACTCGCTCCTCCCGTCTTCCCTCCTCCCCCCCGCCAGCCTGTCTCCCTTAGTCCTTGTTCTTCTTCGCCCCCCGTTCCCGCTCCCGCTCCCGCTGCCGCTGCCCCTGCCGCTGCCGCTGCTGCTTCTGCTCTGGTTGCTATCCTGCTCCCGCATCCGCTGCCGCTGCCGCTCCCGCTGCTGCTGCTGCTGCTGCTCTGGTTGCTCTCCTGCTCCCCCTCCTGCTGCCGCTCCCGCCCCCTGCTCCTCCATCTCCTCCGCGCCTTCGTCCTTGCCGCCGTCGCCGTCCTCTGCTCGGGGAGGGCCGTTGCCGAG